ACTAATTCTAATACCTAGAACTCCACTGAAAAAAAAAAAATTGTACTTCAGAATAAACAGAAAGATCACTTAGCTTTAAGATTTCAATTATGGACAGTTCAATATCCCAGATCCCTGAATACCAGTGGAAATCAACCTCTGCTTTAAAAACCAATTACTACCCACACAATACTGAGCTGATGTTGATCAGTAGAAGGAAATTCCATTAAAAACTTATATTCTCAATAGCATTCCTTCCTTATTAAGACTCTTTGATTGTTGAAATAATTTGCAGTTTGTGGCTCTCTGGTACTGAATACACAAACAGTTGAGAAAAAAGACAAAAACTTCTTAGATCTACAACCAGTTATGTAACTAAGACATACTCATGAAACAAACATATTTATGTTCTGAATAAAGATTTTAATACATTTATTCTCTTGCATAAGAATAAAGTTGTAATGTATCCTTCAGAAAAACATTCACAAGCTTTAAAGTGCAAAAATAGGTCATCACAAACACACTACCTAATACCAACAGTTCAATTTAAAAAGTACATTTTCATATGTCCACCACATTTAATGCCTTTAACTAGCTATCTCTTCCTTTCTCCTATGTCATATGGCAAATATGATCCACTTTTAAAAGGGAAAGGAGATATTCAGACCCATAACCCATTCCTGTTATATTTCAAAGTTTGCCTATTGGCTGCAGCTCTCTGCATTAGCCTCCTTTGAAAAAACCTCAGCCAAAACTGACAGTGCATCTGAGCTGGAGGAGGAACTTGGGAAACAGGAACCTAAGAGAACTGGATATGCACACGGCTGCAAATGCGGTGTGAGTGATCACAGACCTCAGTGCCACTGAAGGTACACAAAGTTCAAGTCTTTAGCTCTCCCACACCTCTGGAGCAGTTAAGAAAAATCGCATTGCCTTACCGTTTGTTCAGCCTGAGACAGATGTGTGCGCTTACAAGCCTTGTTTCAATGTTTAATGTACCTGAGAATTATGCAGATGACATGAGAGATTCATGAATATGTATGTATCTCAAATAAAATACATCAGCATGCTTCAAAAGAGTCCCCTTCTACAAATGAAGCTAGAAACAAAACCCCCAAACAGCAGAGGCTGTGGAATAATCATAATTCAAGGTATGACAACGCTGGTATGGGGGGAGAAGTCTGCACTACACAAAGCTGGAATTAAGACCTAAAGTATGGAATACTTGGGCATTTCTCTTGTTTGCAAATAAAGAAAATTATTTACCACAGTTGTAAAATAAAAACTAATAAATTATCAATCTAAAATGAGCATGAGTTTTCAAATGAAAATATTGATTCAACATTAGATACTACAGAACATTTGATAATGAGAAGTTTATAGATGATAAAATGCATTTAATAAACTAGCAGTGTTGTCAGAAACCTCCACTGCATTACCTAATTAAGGGTAGGGAGAAAATATTCCTTGCCTTTTTCCTGTTGTTCATTTGATTGAGAACTCTTTAAAAAAATTTCCATAAATGCAATTTAAACAATTTGTTACAGAAATTTTTTTGAAATTAATCAAAAAATTAAAGTCCTCCAAGCTGTTTAGTCTGTAAGAAAGGATCTGTCATAGCCAAAATAACATTTTGTTAATTCTGAGACCAAGATGAAATTCCTTAAAGACCAGTCAATATAAAAGTCAGCATCGGCTGGAAATTATTCTGTCCCCAGTGAACTACAAATAATTCTTGACAATGAGACACTTCAGCAATCATCTTAGATGAATCAGATCACTACAATATTCTTTGGAACTTCATAGACTACCAATGTGCCTTGAAACAGACACATGAATGGGCAATGCCAATTGCATTTGTAGCAAAAAAAAGCCATCCTCATTGAAATGCATGGAATTATTACAGGTTCCAGATAAAACTATCAAAAAGAGATGAAACTGTTCAAGATGGTGCCAATGAACTGTCAGGCTGGAACATCTAGAGAAGAGCTGGAACAAGTGCTAACAATAAGAGCAGCACTCATACAGGAAAAGCTTGGTCTAATCAAAACAGTTAAAGACAATCCTAACAAGTTAAAAGTCTGTGTCATCATCACACAACAATAAATGACAGCTAGATCCTACACACTGTGTGTCCTGAATTTAGGCTAAACTAAGCTAAGTTCAATGATATCTGAACAACTCAAAACAGCATGAAACTAATTCAGTAGCACTGTATATGAAGAATTCTGGCACACTCATTCATCAAAGAAAAGAGAAAGGGCAAGCACTATTCCCTTTCCAGCATCTGTATCACAGCACCTGGGACAACAAGACGCCCCAGTTACCAACTGCAGAGAGGATAAGTGGTTTTAAGGAAGCCTTCCTTAGCTACTTGGATTTTATTTGCAGATAATACTAATATAAGGCAAGAGCTATTTTTTAAAATCACACAATAATACAAAGAACAGAAACAGATTTAATTAGTTTGAACCTGAAAGATATCACTGTTTTAACATGCAATACCTTGTTGGCTTCTGTTAAAAAGACTTACAGCAACTACTCAAGGCTGATTACTTGCATGGACTGCAACTTTAAAAACAAGAAAGACAAGTAAATTCTTACTGCAATTTATTCTGACTGCAAATCTGTATGCCTCGCTGAGGTGAACTTGGTAAAATAAATACTGCAAAAAGAGTAAAATACAGCCTAAATCCCAACACGATGTAAGCTACAGCCACCCCACAGATGTGCATGCAGATTCCAAACCTTTACAATGAGACCCTGATTCAAAAATAGTTTACAGAATTAGCACTGCTTTCTGTCTTCCAACACATATTCTCCTCCTTTTTCTCCTGTTCTTCATCCACCACCTTATTCCCTACCTCCCTTACTGTAAATCTGGACACTGGGTCCCACTTCCTCTTAATTTTTACAAGAGTGTAGCTCCAGTTGTCCTGCCCTGGCACACTATTCAGGGCACAACAGTGCTTTTTCACATCTTTCACACATCTCACAGCAACTGCAGGCCACAGAGCTGTGGTTTCTATGACTCATGGTAATCTTGTAAGTAGAAAGAGAAAAACCATGCAAATAAACATATGCATGAGATAAAATGCATCAAAAGACATGAGCTCAACAGGAAAAGCAATAGCAGGAGAGGAATTTAAATGCCTCTGATTCTTTTGCAAATTATTTTGCGGTTAGACCTCATCTTAAAGGGCTTTTCCAACCTAGAAGTTTCTCTGACTGTCATGTTCAGAGAATTTTTACTGGTCTGTTAATTACAGAATAATTTGGAAGAAATATTTATTCACTCCAACCTGTTGGGTTTTTTATGGGGCTAGTGTGATTTTGGGGTTAGTTTATTTTCTTAATTCATTAGCAATCTATTCCTAAATAATTGACTATAGCTTGCACATTAAGGACAAGATTCAAAGCACTGCTGACCCTGTAGTTTTCTGTCTTTCCCCTGCAATGGCCTTGGGATTAAAAGTATTAAGAAGGTGCTAAGAGAAGAGCTACAAATACCAGAGGCTACTCAACACAGGTAATAGAAAAAAGTTAGCACAAGAATTTATGTTGAGTATACACCTCCTCTTCCTACATCCTCTCACACCCTTACTTGATAAGCACAACAAAAAAAAAACTTTTCCTACTCTTTAATATTTTCTATAGCTTCTTTGCTGCAGTAGTCTCTTTAGTTCAATTTCTGACAAAGTGAGAGCCACATAAGCATCAAAGACATACTCACACTGACTGGTTTGTTCGAGGACCATTAAATACATTGTATATGATTACTAGTGTTACATTTACATCTTTCTCACTACAGTAACCCCTCGCCATGCCTGCCTGACAATTACTAAGTCAAATGGGTTTGTGGCTTATTTGATATCTCACAGTTCTTATTCCTCAAACCAACCATGTTTGCCATCACAACCCATGCCTTTTTTTCTCAGGAAAATGAAATCTCTCCTTGCATTCCTAAAAAAAAAATAATATACCAATTGCAGCACTCTGTCAGCTCCTTTACGTTTCTAATCAATTTATAATACACAAATGAGTACCACCTTATTATCTGAATATACATTTTGAAGGGTTTCCTAAGGTTAACACTCAGAACAGATTCTTTCTCTGTAAGACACAAAGCCTTCAAGTACATCCTGAAGTTCTTAACACGAGATCCGGCATGCCCCTGGTACTCAGGAGCTCAGCGTGCTGCCAAGCACACTCCAACTGTTCAAAGGCAGCTACACTGTTGGAAGGCAAGAGCATACTAAGAGCGCTGTGCTGATGTGCATCTCCATGCCCAAGTGTTGCCCAGGTGCAGTTAACACATCTGATTTCTGTGTGACAGTCAGAAACTGTGCTGAAAAGTTACCAAGAGGAGGAAACAGTTCTGTAGAACTGCTATTGCCATTTTATTTTTAGAAGGCTTTTCACAGATACCCGTCAAAGCCGTGTTCTTGCTGTCATCATAACCCATTTCCTATACAATCCAAGCACAAAAAAAAAAAAAAAAAAAAGAAAAAGCAACTTTACTGCAACTCAAATTTTTTGTTTGATAAAGACATTGACATTATAGGCATAAGGCCTATTGAGAATAAGGTGCCATTATAATAAACCCTATTCCTTCAGTGAGAGGCTGTAGTGCCCTGGAATACACATCAATATTCTGTTGTGAATTACATGTCTGAATTTGTCACAACACCCATGATCCCAACAGGGAAATATCTTTACATTTGGTACACTGAAGTAGAGGAAAGTAAATTCCCTGGTAAAAGGGGGAATCAAACTCACGCGTGCTGATAGCAATCAGTGGATCATTCTTGTTTTCAGGAATGACATGGACAAAATGGATGGAGGGATAAAGCATCTACCATAAATTGAAATCCAAATTACACCCAAAATTCAGATCTCCTGGAATTCGGTATTTGCCATTTAGATTACACCAAGTATTGCACTAATAGTCTCCTACTGAAATTTGGCTTGAAACAGAAGGGTACCAAACAGAAACAGCTGATCAGGCCAAAAAGCCTCACCTCAATGAGATAGTGAGAACATAAACTGAGAAGCTCCAGCAGCTGCAAATGACTCCCAGCTGCTAGGACATCCTGTATCACCCCTGGTTCCAAGAGGATCTGTAAAGAAGAAAATGGAAGGTTTGTCATCTGGAAGATGTACTCAGAGTACTTGTAGAAAATATTAAAGACCTTTGTTATTTCAGATATTTAAGTCAACATAAAGAGCAGAATACAATTAAGCATATAGAGAAGACTTTACAGAATAGGGAGAGATTTTCTAAAGTTCATCTGAATTTCCCAAAAGATTTTTAAACTTTTTTTGGTTATTTTCTTTTTCCTGGGAGTGTTCTTAAGTTATAATACCCCCAAAATTCTTTGAAATTAAATGTGTGCTGTTTAAGGAGACTTTCAAAATAACAGAACCTCCTTTTGTTATGTGTATACTTCGATCCTTCCACATATACTGATGAATCAGGCCAATAGAATTGACTTAGAAACCTCCTCTATTAATATTATTCATGCATTTAAAACATATATACACCAGGAACACCCTGCCTATTCTGCACAGAGTCACTTTATAATTTTCCTAACCACTGTCTTCATTTTAGAGAGCAGGGCTCTGAAAGCACAATGAGCATGTTGCTGGGGAAGTGCCAGAAAGGGCTTGGAAACCAAGACTGACTATTCAGTTGCTTGCTCACATGAAACTCCTACTCATTTCAATTAAAATCATGTACAGGCAGCAGTAAGGATAATTGGGCCACAGCTCACAGACCGCTGTCTTGGGGTCAGCTTGTTAGAGCATTCCTTTTGGGATACAAAAATGTCCTTGGGAATATGGACACTGATCAACTTCTTATTAGCAATCAGACTACAGACTATCCAGACTAAAATTTTTTAAGTAGCACAACTTCCACAAAAAAAATCAGAAATACATGAGAAAAATTAAATTTTCAAAGATGTTTGCATTATACAGTTTTATCCTTGTACTTCCCCCAGCAACTTTGGTTTCACACCACATGAGGTCAGTCTCTCACTGCTCCACGGGGAAGTAAAGCTTGCTTTCAGATCCTTCTCTTCTTGCCCACACAATTCAGTTTTATTTGTATACCTCAAATGCAGCGGAATAATGGAAATGAAAAACAAAAGGAAAGATACTCAACTGCATCTTTTGTATTTTAACTGTTTTTGAGGGAAATGAAAAAGAACGTGTATGCATTTCTTCAATCAAAACCATGAAATATCTTCACCATAAAGCATACATTAGGAGGAGAAGAGAAGGTGATTGATCCTTGCTTATATCAAGAACTCATTTGAGTTCTGGCAGTGTATGACATCCTTAATACTTCTGCAAATCCCTACATTTATTAATACAAGGTTTTAAGTGAATATTATATGTCATTTACATACTGTATAAAATATGAAGGTTCTTTATCTAGCCAGAAATCCATGTAAGTATCCTAATGTAAATGAGAATCAGGCCCAGCACAACCCAGGTTTTTTTCTGACGCTACTGAAGTTGCTATGTGTGATGAGAGGTAGTTGAACAGAAAGCTAGAATGGATTTCAGTTACAAAAATGTCTCCAACAGACACAGATATTAAAATAAAAAAAAAAACCAAAAAATAAAAGCACCTCACTCTCAAGTATTTTCAAGTCAGAACTCAAGGTCAAAATAAACAAGCTGTTATAGACCTTGCAGTGTTTTTTATTCAGACATGATTGACACTGAGGAAGCTGCCATCCCTATGGCATGTTACTTACTAAGTGTCAGCCAGAGAACCAGAACCGTAAGAAGATTAGTACCTTGTAGACATAGACAAACTATATTTAACTATGATGATACTATTGTATTTTAAAGCTACAGCAATCCATTTACAAATAATACTAGTAGCAGTAGAAGATAAGAAGTAGGACAAGAGGCAAGGAGGGTGGCTAGCTACTGTCTAGAGGTGATTTGCATGAAGTCAGCAACAAAAGTTCATTTCAAGGTGGCAGACACATTTTCTACATGTTCTTACTTTTGTACAGCCCTCCTATACCATGCAACCTATATCCTACTGAGGAAACAGATTCACTTTTGTGTTTCCCAAGATAACAGAGAAAATTCTAGTTTATCTCTTCGCAAACCTTTGCTTTAAATGGAATTATTTGAACTTTCATTCAATACTCATTTGGATATAGGCAAAAATACTAATTCATCTCTGCTAAGCATTCACCATTGGGAAACTTTATGCTGGGAAATGCACAAGGGAAAGAAAATGCCAAGTAAAGAAGGAAGAAAATATTGCAAGCCTTCCTTCTACTGAAACTGGAGTAATTCACAATTATTCCACACCTTTGAGCTTTTATACACTAAAGCAATTGTTTGGTTTTTATTAATTACCAGCATAGGTATTTATATGTTATACAGGCCTTGCAGCTCAATATTAACAGTAAATGCACATAAATACCACCAAATACACACCACAAGTACACACAGTGACTGACTCTCCTCTGCTTGTCTAACTCTCACAACAATAGCTCTGAGGTCTACAGAATGATGCTTATTGCAAATTAAGGAAAGTGAAACTAAGGTTTACTTTGGATTCACAACTTCAAAATTCATCATTAAAATTTTAATGTGAATAAATAGAGAGAAGCTTAATCATTCTCTGTAATCCATGCTCAATCCAAGCATTATGAGGCATAATTACTGGGGCAGAAACTGAAGAGTAATTTAGACTCATCAAATTCAGACAAAAGCTGCAGCCTTCACCAGTGAAGAATGTGCTTTCTCACAACACAGGCTATATTAGACTGGTTGCTGTACTATTTTTACATTAAGATTAATTAGATGCAATTCAGGTATTGCACCTGGCTGCATCTCACAATCACCCCTCTATTCAGTCCTTATTTCTAAGGGTTGATTTTCATTATACCTTCAACTTCTCACTGTATACAACAGGCAGATCTTGTGATACATGAGTAACTTCCTTTCCTAAGCCATCAAGCCTGACATACTGCTCATTTTCAAACTGATCTACTTTGATAAACTACCTTGTTCTTACAATGACTGTTTTCAAACAGGAAACCTGCTCCTCAAAGCAATCTTTCTACTCTCCACCATGCCACAAACCCTCCAGAGAGGATGCACAAAATACAGTCTGGTCCCTACTGTGGTCAGATCCACAGACCAAGGGATTCAAGCAATGCAAAACTTGGCTATTTGTAACAGAATGCTAAGGTCACAAGATACAGAAAGGCAGATTACACAATTTCTTACATCCACTATTTTTAGACACACAATTTTAATCTGGGAATTTATCCACTTAAGCTTTCTGCAATGTATCCACAAAGTATTTCTGCAAAAGTAGAAGATTTTAAATTAAACCTGACCTTGTAAAGCATTATACTGAGGCAGAAAAGGGAATTTTATAACCAGTCACATTATTACAGGAACACATGGGCCTTAACAACCTGCCCCATATTTTTACCCTCCAGCCAGCAGTTCAAAACAAGAATTTATTCCCTCTTACCATAAGATTTTTCTCTTCCTTTCCCAGCTCAACCTGCATCCTCTCCAACACCTTAGGACAGTGGGTAAGCATGGGAAAATACTTAACTGGTATCACGTATCTTGCCTCTCCAATCTTGTTTGAGACTTGTGGCAACAGAATGAATAAGAACCACCAACCTTTCCTAAGAACAAGTACTCAGGCCTCACCTCCACATACTCTTTTAATGCTTTCTGTACCCAGCCTCCTACAGCCAACAAAGAACTACAGACCTAAAAAAAAAATTCTAAGATCAGAGGAAAGAGGACAATAACAGCCAAAAAAGAATGAAAAGGAAACTCCTTAAACTGTCCTTTCCAATAAGGCAACTTACAGCCTGAGGGAGAAGGTAAGATCCAGATTAATTATCACCTCTGTGGAGTCTCATGAGGTTTATATCTGGAAAGAACAACTAGAACATTCTATTCTCTGAACACTGCAGGCCACTATATTTAATCCACATATTTTTAAAGACACTAAACAATAGCTACTTTAGCCCCAAGAAGGCTAAACTGCATACTCAGACAAAGATCGAGAGGTTGAAGACACACTTTTATCACCTTCATTCCAGCTATTCATATATCCCCCATATTTTTCTCATTGCCATACAGCTGTTTGTGGGACAATGGAAAAGTGAGATGGTGGCATGATTCACATTAAAAATACATCAGTATTATGCTGTAACAGTAAGGAAACATGCAGTCATATTTAATTTGAGAGAAAATAACTTTCCAAAGACACACAGCACACTAGTGGCTTCTTGGTGCTTAACACCAAGTTCTCCTGAGTCCCATTTTCCAACAGTAAGGAAATATGCAGTCCTGTCAGAAAATTCTAGAAAGTAAACTGTATGGAATTTAACACAGAAAACAAGAAAAAAAAAATCTAAGATTCCTGCCATTCTGATGAAAAAGAAAATTCCTCCTTGACTCCACTTGCAGTGATCAGCATTTTGAACAAGACAAGCATCAAACACAAGTATCAGTTGTTTTTGCCTGATGGAGATCATTCTGTGTGCTTGAGAGCAATCAAACACCTTAACTTTTCTTTTAAAGTAATTTAGACTGCATTTCACTCTCAACCAGATGGCACTTCTGCCTGTCTCCCTGTTCATTCATGATTCAGTTGAATACTGAGCTCCTTACACATTGACAAGTGCTGCTTCAAAAAAGCGAGTGAGGGAAGAATGTTCTTCTAGTCCCCTGCAAGCAACTGCCCAAAGCCCTGGCACACAATGTTTGGTAGCACTTGCTACAAAATCCAGATGTCTCTCTAGCCAGTGCCAGAAAGCATCATGACCAGCATTTCTCTGATACATCACAATATTTTTCCAGAAAATTAGAAGAAAAATCCATGTTAAACGCACAGCATACACATCATAAAATCACAGAATATTTCAATTTGGAAAGCACCCATACAGATCATCTTGTCCTATCTCCCAGCTAATTGCAGGACTATCCAAAACTAAGCACATGTCCAGACATTCCTTGAACTCTGACAAGGCTTGATGTCATGACCACTTCCCTGGAGAACCTGTTTCAGCAACCTGACACCTTTTCATTACGTCCAACCTGAACCTTC